TTGCCGCAGTCGAGTTCCTGAAGGCTGTCGTTAACGTAAAGGATGAAGAGCAATGGTCCCTTTATTTGTTTTAGCAGTTTTTATTTTAGCTGCTCTGTCACTCTAAACGGGACCTTCTAGTAAATGTGTTTAGTAAATATGTTATAAAAGAAGTGAATTTATCCTCGATTTATCACCATACATTTGAAGTGTAAGGAGCAGCGCTATGGTTGACCCTATTTATATACAATGATTTCACATATTTTCACCCAAAATAAAGTTGCGAACATGTCGAATGGGAGTAGTTCACGATAGGACATAAACGAAAAGTAATCGCTTCCGTCTACCTTGACTCTGGGTGAAAATATTAGGCCTGACATATTGTTTTGCAAATCTGGATGTAAGTAGTCATGTTGAAAAGTCAGTCATTGCCGAAAATAATGATAGAAAGTTTTCTTTTAAACCTGTAAATTATGTCGGCTTTCACCATCTCACCTACCAGCGAGTTCCGTCGTTGCACAACCCGTTGGTTGAAGAACTTCCTACGATCTAGCCACGGGCGTTCGCACTTAACTTTTCAGGGATGGCCGCGTAACTGGTTTGTACTGGTAAACTCAAAAAGTCCTTCGTTCTCAGTGAGTAACCACGGCCTCGGAAAATTCGGAATGTCCAGTGTAAACTGAAGTTGATTTGTCTATAAGATAGGAGGAATAAGCCAAGCATATCCAGCCTCTCCTAGTACGATGAATAATTTATACCATCGATCATCTTCGTTGCTATACTTTGCACCTACTCGAGTAGCTGAATATTTTTCCCCATTCATGGTGAGGCTGCTGGCATTCCATCTTCCTGGTGGGATCTTACGACGACGCCGAATAATCTTCTGAGGACTTCGAGAAGAAATATTTTAAATTCTAGGCTGATCTAATGTAGAATACTAGTCGCCTTCTGGACCATCTTCCTACAGTGTTCTTGATAGCATTAGATTTGTGGTCATTCATACACCCAGATCTCGGTGTCTTTCTACCGTTCCTAATGCCGTCCCGTGAATATAGTACTAATGCTTGAGGGAGGCATTTCGACTGCCATTTAGGTGTAAGAACACGCATTTGGAAATAATAAACTTTAAAAGCAACCTGTTTGATAAAACACTCAGTTAGTCGATGTTTAGACGCAACTGTTTTGCGTTATCATCACCCTTGACGTTACCTCATGTTTTTACGTCACCTGCGAACACGGGAGGTTCACAGTCTTGTTTGCTAGTGCTAAAAACGAAATCCTATGAGACACTTTTTCTGTTATTGTCCATTCCGAGGTAGAGTTATAAACAGATACTCTCTGTACTCTGGATGACAGAAAACTCCCGATCCATTTAAAGATTCTTCCTCGAATTCCTGCGTCCAAAATCTCCCGTAGAGGAAGCCGGTGCGGATTAATTATGGGTCCCTTTTAAAAAGTGCACCTAGCGGTAGATAAGTTTATTTCCTTCATCCTACCTTAGTAAGTAAATGCGTATGAAGAAGGAAATGAGCTGTGACTGAATGCATTCGGTCTTGATTATCAAATAATTAGAATTTTGCAGTGTCTTAGTGGTGATTATGCACGGAGCACCATAATCATCACTGCCCAAATCACTTTTGGAGGAGATGGGTTAAGACGCCAATAGAAAAACTCGTTGGTGATCAGGCATCCCCGAGGCAGCGGCTTGCTCTGGGTCTGCACACGTCTGTCCGCAAGAGTGATATGAGCGCGGATGCACAAGCATCCCTTGAGACACAGTCATCGTCTTCTTAATCAATTGATTTGGTGATTACCAGATTTGTGGACGCCTGTTATTAACTGTCCAAACTGTGCTCATTATCCTACAGTTAGAGCCTTGTAATCACACGATTCCCAGCACGATGCAAATGCCGGAGGCGGGAGACTAAGACGCAATGGGGCCCATAGAGATTCAATGGCGGTCTTATTATTTCCTGAGTGACTGCTGCATTTGTGAGCGCCTGCGAGTATGTGTCCTAGAGGATGCGTGTGAACACGTCCCAGCCTCTGGGGAAGCACAACAGCATGTATCTCTGCGTGACATAATTGTCATAGGTGGTGGATTAATATGCGCTAGAGGCTCCACAGCATAATATATGGTACACAATTCATCGTAGAATCTTTTCAATCTTGAAATCCCTATGAATATCCTTAAAAGTAAAAGCAGAAGATTTATGGCGGCACACATGTATAACCAGTTATTTGAACAATTTCATCACACGCAGCCTGTAAATACTAGTACGCTGCACCTATACTGAGATTAATTTCTGAGCAAATGAGCATGAAATATGCGCAAATGTCCGAAATTTGCCATATAGAATAGAATAGATTTATTGTAGCGCCCCTTGGGCACTGTCAGTCCCCTTTGTACTGCCTGAGCAGGGAGATCATCCAATGCTCCAATGAGCTTTGCCAGAGGCCGTTTCATCGGATGTCCCTGTGGGTCAACTTCCTCAGCAGGTAGGGGAGGTGGTCGCTTAGACTCTCCGTAATAACTAGTCCAAAAATCGTTAAGGCAGACTCGTGATTTCCAACAGCCGAAAGATCTGTATAAGATTACCATGCAGTTGCCAGTAATGCACAGAAGGCAGATTAGGTTCAGCTTCTCCGGTTTTTTAACAGAGGGCATGAGGAATCCTCCTCCTCTTCGTAAACTTTGTTTAAGTAATTTTCAGTATGCCTGAACAGCGTATTCTAAATGGCATTAAACGAACAGTACGTACGTCATGCCGCGTACCTTATTATCAGTTTGTATAAAAGTTCTCTTAAGGGCGAATAGCACCTGCATCGGTTGCTTATCCACCTTTGCAGAATGTGATGATGGTTTAGTCGAAAATATCTTTGGGATACCGAGATTTTTTGCAAAGATTCAGGTTGTTCTGCTCATTGTGGTTTTATTGGAGGAAGCCGTCTTCCGCGTTCGGTCCTCTTGAACGACTGATAGCTCCCAACGGATGCTAAAAACCCACTGTACTCCTCACTAGTAGAGACTCTTAGTGTCACTCACATACTAACATAAAAACTTCGAGGCAAATCAGCCACAAACATAAAGCAGCCTTTCCGTTATTGCAAACCTATCCTCGCCAGACCTGATGGAGTTCCAGTCTAGCACATCACCAGTCAGAACGACGACGCTGCAGCCTGGGTTGTCGACAGTCGTTGAGGTAGATTAGGAGTGACGACCAAAGGCTACTACTTGGAACGAAAGTAGGTGTTGACCTACTGACTGAAACCAAGGCATATGGCTTGTAATTTTGCCGAGAAAGGCTTAGTGATGCATGTCATCAGCTTTCTTCTCCTTTTAGTGTGAAATTTTCTGTGAATTAGACGCTTGTGTGGTATGCTGTCGAAGGTGTTTCTAAAATCGCTGTAAGCGATGCCGACCCAGTAATCCTCCATCGGTTCAAAAATCTGATGTCCGGCATAAAACAACAAATTTGGAAGGCCAGAACGGCTATGTCTGAGGCTTTTGGACAACTGTGAATATTTTTTTTCTTCCAAGAACTTCGTTGTGTATTTTCTAGACATGAAGTCCGCCACCCTACAGCAGATGTAGCATGGGCTTGTGGAACCCTTGATTTCAACGTTGTTTCAGGCCCCCCTTATAAATCGGGTAGATTTTTCTCAGTTCTTTTCCGACGACAGTCTTTAAGTTCGAAAAACAAACGGATGATTTTCTACTGTGTTTTGGAGCGTTTGCACGCCAGTTAGGTTAACAGCTTCACCGGCATATTGAGCTTCTTTTAGCCCCTTCAGTTTGTTTGTCATGGAAGTGGCATGAAGAACGTACAGATATGGGCACCTAGTTGATGTTTGAAACGGGGCCGTTGAGAATGCTACACGCCGCATCCTTAATGGACACAGAAGCAGGAAATTAGCCCAATTAGCCTGTTTTCTCGTTATTCTGAACGATTTCTACACCGTTATCAATTCTAAGTGCTGCGACTGGGTCCTCGTTTTTCAGTCGACTGATGTTAAAATAGAGCAAAACTCTGGATTTCAGCCTAATCTGCTGAATAATTTGGGATGCATAGTCCTTTCCAATGTTTTTGATAGACTTACGATAATATTCTCCGAGCTGTTGTTGGGAACAAGGTTGCACAACTGTCTTCCGAATTATTGCTTTTCCTTTTTAGCTGTCTTTCGAAATGCTGAGCGAATCAGTCAGGGCAACTATTTGATTTTTGTGTCTTACCCGGACAATTAGACCTAATCAAATTCAGGGGGACAGTTCTAAAAAATCGCCGATTCTCCTCTTGTTCTCTCGTAAACAAAACATCCTAGTTCAGGGTTATCAGCACTTTCCTCATTCCGCTGAAATCTGCTTTTCCTGGATTTTGCTGTCATTCCGTTGTAAACTGACGTCGAGTATAGAGCAAGTAACCCCACGGGAGAGCCATACCAGCACAGTTTCCGAAGGGTGTATAGGAACATACTTCACCAATGCTAAAGAGGTCTGGAAATGTCTGTTGGAAAAGGTGCCCTAAACAACCGGTGGGATCACGTCGTTTTCACGCAGACCATGACCCACAGATATACAAATCACCGTCAAAACAATCAACCCAAAAAACAACAGACGTTTCAATAACCCTCGTCCCACTCCTCGGGCTGCCCGTGTGAGCATGGGCAATTTGGCAGTCTGGAATGTTCACTATCGTTTAGACAACACTCAGAGCAACCAACCGAAAAGAAGGATGTTGCTAGTCGCAGGAGAAATGGCGCGCCACAAGGGGAACATCACTGCTCTCAGCGAGCTCCGATTCTCTGAACTGGGTCAGCTGGAGGAGGTGGATGACGGCTACACCTTCTTGTGTTGCCGCGCAAGGCGAAGTGACTAGACGCTGGCGTCGCCTTTGCCGTCCAGAATGACATCGTGGGACGACTGCCATGCCTACCGCAGGGAACCGACAACCACCCCACAAGCCTACTTCTGTCGCTCATGTGAAAAAATTCGCCTACATCATTAGTGCCTACGCCACCCAATGACCGACCCCGACGAGGGGAGAAAAAATTTCTATGAGGAAATGGCACGCCCTCCTGGCGACTCTGCCGAGGATGGACAAGCCGCTTGTGCTTGGCAACTTCAATGTTCGCGTCGGGACAGGATACCGTCTCCCCCTGAACAACACCTTCTTCCGCCTCCCGACATGGGCGTGGGCCAGTCTGATGCACCCACAATCGCGGTGCTAGAAGCTGCTGGACTATGTGCTCGACCGGAGGCGAGATCGACAGGACGTGTTGGTGACCAAGGTGACCTGCGCCGCCGCCGACCCATTGCCCAAGAAAAATGACAAGACCATGTATGCGACCGCCGTGGGTTAATCTGACGACAAAAAAGACCATGAAGAAGAAACAGAGACTCTGGAAAAAGTATTTGCAACTTCGACATCCAAGGTCACTCACCGAATATAAGGATCAGCGCAATAAATGCCGTAAAGAAATACGGGTTGCTAGAACTTCTTTCGAGCGCCGACTGATAGCAGAATCCATTACATGTCCCAAGAAGTTTTACGGGTACATCCGCAGTAGGAGGAAACATTGGGACGAAATTGCGTGTCTAAAGGATAGCCTCGGAAACTTAGTAGTTGGAGGGCCACAGAAAGTGCGATTACTGTCTCAGTTTTTTCAATCGGTTTTTATGGAGGAGTCCTCAGAAGACAATCAGCAGTTTGAAATGGACTGATACAGCCGGGAGCTTCAAATGCGCCAAGATATTGCCGTCATTGAAACCGTCGCCTTTTCCTTCGAAGAAGTCAGACGCGTCCTCAGTCAAATAAAACCTGATAAGTCTCCTGGACCCGACGGAATTCCCGGACTAATGCTTGAGGAGCTATCAACGGAATTGTCAAAGCCTCTTTCGACTCTCTTTGAGATGTCAATGAGAACAGGAAGGCTGCCCTCACAGTGGAAGACAGCTAACCTCGTTCCATTGCATAAAGGAGGTAGCAGGGTGACTGCAAGCAGCTTTAGGCCTATTAGCTTAACTTGCCTCCCATGCAAAACGATGGAAGCTATAGTAAAGAGCGCCATACAGCAATTTTGTGAAGAAAATAACATCTTGCAGGATTTTCAACATGGCTTCCGGAGAGGACGTTCCTGCCTCTCAAATCTGCTAGCTTGTCTGGAAATCTGGACCAGGGCTCTAGAAGAGGGTTTTGAGGTCAATGTCGTATACATCGATTTCCGCAAAGCTTTCGACATTGTCCCGCAGCAACGTCTTCTTCACAAATTGAGCGCCATCGGCATCCGGGAAGATCTTCTGAACTGGATTAGGGCGTTTCTGGTTGGTCGGAAACAACGTGTCTGTATCGGGGATGATATGTCAGAATCGGTGAATGTGACCAGTGGTGTGCCGCAAGGCTCAGTTCTGGGACCATTGCTCTTCATCCTTTACGTTAACGATAGCCTTCAGGAACTCGACTGCGGCAAAATAATGTTTGCAGACGATGTTAAGCTCTGGCAAGTCATTAAGGGTCCGAATGATCAGAGATCCCTTCAAGATAATCTGCACCGACTGCAAGCGTGGTCGAAGAAATGGCTTCTAGATTTCAATGTGGAGAAGTGTGCCATCCTTCATCTGCGTCTAACCAACTCTCATTCAAATGAGAGCCTGAGTATATATCACCTGAAAAATATAAGGCTCCCCGCAGAATCTTCACAGAAGGATCTCGGGGTTTGGATACAGAACAACCTGAAACCAACACTGCAGTGCCACAAGGCTGCAAAAATCGACATGGGAGTGCTGCATGCAATAAAAAGGGCTTTCGTAAATTTTGACCAAGACCTTTTTGGGAGAGTTTACGGCACATTTGTTCGGCCCCACTTAGAATATGACATACAAGCATGGCGGCCATGGCTGGTTAAGGACCAAGCATGTCTCGAACGAGTACAACGGCGTGCAACAAAGCTGGTAAACGGTCTAAAAAGCCAATCCTACACAGAAAGACTGAATTGCCTTAATTTATTCCCTCTGTGTTACAGGCAGCAAAGAGGTGATCTTATCCTCATCTACAAGATAATACATGACGTTAAGCATGGGCTTACATTTGAGGACATGTTTCAGTGGCACCTTTCACCCAATCTTCGTGGTCACTCGATGAAGTTACGGATAACAATGTCCAGGCTGAATCTTCGTTCTGAATTTTTCACGCAGAGGGTAGTGGAGAAATGGAACGATCTTCCTCAGTCAGTCGTGGAGGCTAAGTCCCTGCAACTCTTAAAGAAACGCTTGGATGATTATTTGTGTCCCCTTCTTTCCCTCGACAGTCTGAATCTGAATTGATACCCCAGGTCCAGACAAATATTTTCTTTGAGACAATGCTACTCAAATGAACCAAGTACTGTTTTAATAGTAAACATGTTTTGTTCGTGTACAGTTATTTCTAACGAGCTGACATGTAATCAATAGGGTTTTCAAAGGCTTTGCCTATTATCCTTACAAATAAACTGAAAAAATAAACTGAAAATATGAGGTTCCGGCTGCAACATCATAGGAGACCGCAGAGTGAGCGGCCACCAGGTAATTTAAATACTCTTTTGTTGAATTTTCCTGTTCACCGCTTCGATCTCAGCAAACGCCTGGTCCAGCGCCTAGAGGGTCCAGGCGACAGCGCTACCGTAGAGGCACAGTGATATCAACTGCGGAACACTATCCCCTCCTCCACTCCTCCTAGGCGTCCTCGGCTGCGGTCGTCGTCAACACCAAGACTGGCTTAATGACAACAATGTAAACACCAGCAACTTACTCACTGAAAAAAGCAGACTGCGAAAACCTAACCGACACAACCAAAACGGCCTTCTACGGATTTGCCGTCTGATGCAGCAACGACTGCGGGAGAGGCAGGATGCTTGGGTAGGTCGAAAGGTTAAGGGAATCCAAGGATACGCGGACCGCGACTAAGCGGAAAATTCCTTCATTTAAATCAAGTCAGTTTCAACATTCAAGAGAACCGTGCCGCTGCTCGGCTCCGACGAAACAACGCTGCTGATGGAGAGATCTCAACTTCTTAAACGCTCAGCCGAGCACCTCGAAACGATCTTTAACTGCCCATTCACGATCTCCGGCACCGTCATTCACCTTTTTCCTCAGTTAACAACGAACAATGACTTGGGCCTCTCGTCTTCCCTTCAAGAAACCCTCAGAGCCATGCAGTAGCTCTCCGGCGAGGAAGCATTGCGATCCGACGCGATCCCGGTCGAAGTCTACGAGCATGGCGGACCCCGACTGACGAATCAACTTACAATGCTCTTTCAAGAGATCTAGTGCCAGCGGCAAGCTCCCCTGGAATCTCGCTGCTCAGCACTGCTGGGCAGATCTTCTCTTGCATCCTTCTTAATCGACTCGACGATCATCTAAAATAAACGGACTTTGCCCAGAAAGCCAGTGTGGCTTCCGATGACACTGGGGAACCAAGGACCTGATTTATAACGCTCGCCAGCTACAAAAGAAGTGCCATGAAAATGTGGGCTCACCTTTACACTGATTTTATGAATCTGACTACATTCTACGACACAGTGAATGCCAATGGGCACTGAGAATTCATGCAGAAGTTTGGCTGTGCCGAGCGATTCACGCACGCTGTATGTCAGCTCCATCACGGGAGGACGCGCATCAAGGACTATGCGACCGCCTCTGAAACATTGGCAGTAACCAACGGCATAAAGCAGGGTTGGGTTCTCACCCTAACCCTTTTCAGCTTCATGCTTTCTGCCGTGCTGATGGACGTGTACCGTGTACCGTGGGACCGGCACCGTCTACAGGGCCGACGGCCGTCTTCTCAATAGCCGGCGCATGCAGGTCCCCAATGCGTCATGGGGCCGCCTACGCTAATCAATCCACGAAATTCAATTACCCCCATCTTAGCTGTCTCCGGAGAACACTAAAGCTGCGGTGGCAAGACAGGATCCCGACACGGAAACCTTTCAACGGACCGGAATCTTCAGCATCTATGCCGTGATGAGGCAAATGTTACTACGATGGAGCAGCCACCTCGTGAGGATGGGCGATTGGCGGTTACCAAGTTGATTCTTCTATGACGATGTCGCTACGACTACTCGCCGACAAGGAGGACAAACCCGACACTAAAAGGACATCCTGAAGAACTCTGCCAAGCACTTGCAAATTCACCCGGACACCGGGGAAGTCTTCGTCCAGGACCGATCGAACTGAAGAAGGACAGAAAATGCTGGAAGGGTGATGTTTAAGGCCAACTTGATCGCAACCGCCAAAGCCAAAATTGCAGCTCGGAAGTCTCAAGCGCCTACGACACACGATGCCAACATCCTCACGCTACCAACGAAAATTCCGCGCGAAGATCGGCCTCGTTGGGCATCTCCGGACCCAGTGCCAAAATCCAACAACCCCGCCTACTGTCCCCACAATAACTCCCATCGTCATCCCTGCACGAGTCACCACGGCGTCCACGACCGCGATTACCCCCGCCGACTGTGATCACACCCCTGATGCCCTGCCGCCGTCGATCACCGCCAAGCCCATCATTCCTGCCACAACCTCTACGAGAACGATGACGGCCGCCTACCCTCCCACTCCTGTTACAGATGGCAACACTGCAAACGCCAAGTCAACCGCTACCCTCACCACCACCAACCTCGACTTAGGCTCGTCCACATTACGGTCGTAACTTCATATCAAGCATCTCCCTGGGCAATCACTTGTGAATTCATCGCACTGGGACCGACGAACCGGCGTCAGGAGCCCCGAAATACACTCGCCGCATCTGCCTCCACTGCCCAAGTACATTCCCTAGACGAAAGGGCACATTCAGTCACAGGATTGTCCACGACAGCGGAAATCACTACAACACCGACAGACCAAACATGCGCTGCGCACCTGGCATCTTTTCCGTCCTTAGCATTTCCCAGCTTCTATCCATCAGTAGCAGCAGCACCACCGCGACCAACTCAGTAACTCCAGCCTCCCCGTTGTCATCACATATATACACCACGCATAGGCCTGGTCGGTCGCTTGCGAACTCAGCGCACAGAGACTGGCGAATCAGACCCGGAGCACCGACACGCAAACGTGGCTGCGGCAAAAGCTGTCCGAATTGCCCTCGTGCATTCAGCCACTGCATGGGCCCACCTGGTCACGTGCGCCCGTAAGTTGAGCTGTGGACTAAACCACACCACCGCTCATGAGCACGTTCTCTATTACACACGCCAGGCACCCCGCCCCCACAGATGTGGGAGGCCTGTTACTTGACTCTACCATGTGGCCTCCTTGCAGTCCACCCATTTGCGCGAAAGCCTGTTGTCTGGGGGTCAGGTCATGGATGTGGCCCGAGCAGACAGGCTTTTGTTATCTGTCAGTCACCTCTCCAAATTTCAGCATTAGCTGCTTGACCGACTCCGAAAATCAATCGGCGCACGGGAAACGGGAGAGATCGATTGTTGGCACACTTTTATCGATTTAGACTATCACGGCGCACTAAAAACCGTAGCTGGAAAGGTTGTCGACTGACGGGATAAATCGGACCTCGCAGTCAGTTCAGTGTGTGCTGAGCGGCCGACTGGTGGTCTGAGAGTCAGGCTTCAATGACTGCTTCTTAAAGTGGCCTCTAGGGCACTCCAACTCCGTGGGATCCGAGCCAGGTGTGACGGCACGCCTGGGTGCGGCTCCGGTCGCGTCAACCACCCTTTTGCTGTTGGTTAAAATCCTGGTCATTTGCTGTGCGTACCAGGGGATGTGGAGTGGAGCGCCAAGGCACGGGCTTGACTAGGCCATCCACCTGCGCCCTCTGCCGCCTCCGGTCTTCTTATCTCTGTTTTGACCCCGGGTCCAGGTGGGACAGAGTGAGTTAGATGCCCTGAAAGTCTACTACTACTACCACTATAAACTAACTCAGGCGCAAGTCACAGTGCCTGTTCTTACTCTGCTATGGGGACTATAATGAACCCCTCTCGATGCGGTCTTTATGGCTTACGGCGGCCGAGCTGTCATGTTCTAGAACTCGGCGGCACGAAACCAACCTTTTTAGCTGTTTTTTTTATACCCACTTCTCTTCGTTTATACGCCTCTCCAAATTCAACAGCACATGAACTTCGGTATTAGCAGGAGGCAGGCTAGGGTCAGCAGAAAGTCAGTTAATCGAAGATTCTATTGAAATATCAACTTATAGTCTAGTGAGTAGTGCGGATTCAGTAGTCATGCGCCGGGCACCCCTGGGAGACAAGGTTGGACACGGAAACAAGTGCCTCCCGTACTACAGGTGGCGGGGTGTTCTTTCCGTGTCACCTATCCTTATTCCCGTGCCCTAGCCGTGACAACGACCAGCTGCACTGCTCGCGGTCGGTCAGCTGTGCCCCAATTTCGGTCTGGGAAGACTTGGAGACCGGGCAGTAACTGCCGCCGTCGGTTGGTCACGGCTTCACGTTCACGGCTGCGATGGAAAATATGAAAGTTTAAGCGACGCCGCTAAGAATATTGGCAGTCTCGTCGTGTATATCCTACCTAGAACCCCCAGAGCTGACCGCGGGAGAGAAGTCGCCAAAAATCGATAAGTTCGACTGTGAAAGGCAAGGGATAATAGAATGCCCATTGGGGTTTATTCAGCGTTACGTGAAGTAAGTGAAGTCAGCTTACTTGCGAAAACCAGCATACCACTGTTGGAAGGTTCTTGGGTAGTAACATTTGCTGGGAGGAAATCGATAAAACCCATACCCCACTACAACAAACTCCCAGATTGTTGAAACGGTCAACTGTGCTGCCATATACACGGTAAACGACCAGAATGGAACTCGCAAAAGAGAAGACAGGTGGGGGGACTGCGAAAGGGATTTATGGGTTGGGCTCTTCAAGTGAAAGAAAACGGCGTTTGTAGGCGGTGGACATGTACGGCCTCATGACCCATTCCACGTCCGCGGTATCCTCCTCGTGCAAGGGCCCACGCCAGATTTTGTACACTAAGACACAAAAAGAATGAGGTTGATATATAGACAGCAGGGATTCATAAAACAGGTAAATTGCTGCAGCCGTCGGCTTATATACGCGGATGTCAGATGATGGGCATTTAGGAAGATGTCAGGACTGTTTGCTAAGGAGAACTGAAAGCTCAGAGCTGTCAGGCCATACAGTTCGGTCAAAAATACGTTGTATGGGCTTATCAGGACACGAGAGCCCATCAGTATTACCAAAGTGCACAATGGTCGACCGAAAACGGAACTAATTTGGTTGAAATTTTGAATATCAAATAATATTTTCAGATTCATATTGACCCAACTGTGAAAAACTCGGCGCCTCGGTGGGATTCGAACGCACGCAGTAAGGGGAAGGCTTTAGCGCAGCCAACGCTCTAACCACCTGAGCTACGAGGCCCCGCCGGACGACGCGAGTTTAATCCCATTTGGGTCAAGTTACCCACCCAACCTACTGCAACGTCTGGAATCCACCAAATCTGATACAGTAAGTTGACGGCCCAAGCAGGATTTCCTAAGTAATTCGCCTCGTAGCTCAGGTGGTTAGAGCGTTGGCTGCGCTAAAGCCTTCCCCCTACTGCGTGGGTTCGAATCCCACCGAGGAGCCGAGTTTTTCACAGTTGGGTCAATATGAATTAGTCAAAATCTGCCAAAATATCAATGAATATTTTTAGAGCCGAAAAGTTGCTCAAGCTGTTAGTCAAAGCCAAGCCCACTTCCAGTTAAATGGACGCAGCGCATGACTTGACATTCAAGCACAAAGGAGGCGATTTAATGTGGCGGGCCAGCTTTAAATATGTTGATGGATATATGCGGGGCCAGTTAAGGACGGATAGAGGCTAAGGGTGACATTGACAGTATAAATGAGCGTATTGACCACGTCTCCAATTTGAAGATACGCCTTGTGTAGTGGTGAGTTCTGATCGTGAGTTCGACGGCCAAGCAAGACGAGGAAGGCATTTTTCTAGCATAATGAGGCTAAAGCGTCGTAATGGCAGGGAGGCAACTGTATGTGTCCAATCTCTTCGCATTCAAACATGTTACATCTTGACGATCGAGAAATCCAGAACCAGGGGGCAATGCAACAGACGGGATTTCAGAGGACCTGGTCCACTCTATTCAACTACGGTCAAAGTACGAAAGTACGGTCAAAGAAAGGTTTGCATGCTTATGCCAAGTGAAAGCAGAATTTTCCGCCTCCAGTGTGCGACAGTGAGTTCGCTCCCAAGTAACGATATCATTTAGTCGCGCATTATCACCTGCAAGCAACCACTACGTGGTCCTGCACTCGCCAAGGCTAGGAGGTTCTCGCGGTGCCCGGTCGATTCCGTGAACACCTTTTGACTCTTAAGCATAATCAGTCTCCCTTTATATCACACCCCCACAGACTTCCAGGTCCACACTCATAAGGGTTTGACAGGCTTATTACTTCGCCAGACCACCTGTAATACCAGGATGCAAATAGGGCTTATTTTGGTGTCGAGAATAAAATGGCCACAATCAGTTCCATAAATCTCATGAAAACGCGAAACTTTGCGTCTCCTCGATTCCCTTGTTTAAGTTTACCGATGGGGACGCCAGAGGGTACCCGCGGCCTGTGAAATTCACCAATCAAGATGATGCACACCAATTGGGTGTAATCTAGTCAAGCGGCCGATCAGTTTACCCCAACGACTAATTGCGAAGCTGATAACTCGAATATGCCATTCCGCCATTTGCCAGATGTGTAGAGACTGCACAGGCCTTAACGCCACGGATACGATTCTACGTTAATAAGAATTCTTCCGGCATAGGCCAGTAGTATGACCATAAGTTAATAAGAATACCACACCAAACTGAGGGTGCTGGTGACTTGGCTGAAGGCGCGTCGACACGACAACGGTTCGTCATTGTATGCCAATCGCTGAGGCCACCGGCAAGCCTTCAGATTAATAATAGGGGTACCCCAGGCGTATGCTGGAGGTAGCTAGCAAGATAACGTGTCAACCCAAGACCGTCTGGTCGTTGCAGGACAGGCCTTAATACCCTGGTATGACCATAGGTTACTATGTGAATGTGATAATATCAGTCAACGGGAAGCCACTGGTCTGAACAGCACGCCGTACAAAGGATGCTTGTCCTGACAATAGCGCAATGACCATAAGACTAATTAACTTAGCCTACCGAAGCGAAATAAGTAGCAACCGTCTATGCACTAAAACAGTGAGGGTCCATCTTATTCTCGAAACTACTTAGCTAGATACAACAGTGATCGTCCCAGCACCCACCTCTACGGCTTCTCTCTAAGAACTCAGATATAAATTTCCTAGCCATGATGACTTGTAACGGGAAAGGCCGGAAACTCAAGCCTGAACGAAAACAGCGGTTTCACCGAAATATCGCCGAATACAACAAGTTCACTTTTGGGTTTCTCGATCTTCTACACCTGCAAAATACTACCAAGAGTCCACAATTTCCTAGATCACGTCATCCGGCTCGCAAAACTGATAAATAATATCCCTAAAAGAGGTGGTTGCTGTCTGATATGTGGTATGAGCACGCATAAACGCCCAGGGATGAGGTGAAACTTAGTCGCGATACGAATATCGGCGTGCAACCTGGATTGTGCCTTTGTGGGAGTGTGAACTGACGAAGTTGAAGAAATTTTGTCACAGACTGAACGCCAACCCGCCATCAGGCACTTAATGTAAAAACCGTGCACACCAGAGCCAAGGAAATATCCGTGCGGCAAAACCTGTAGCAAGTCAAGCAAGGGTGTGTGCAAAACGTACGCCGCATGTCGAAGCGTGGACCGTGCTCCTGTATTTCCAATTCCTTGTTAACATACTTGTAGGTGTGATGCCTATGAAAATGAGAAGGGTTAGGAAGAAAGGGTTAGTATACATTCAGTGAGGCACAGAAAACGCAATTTGAAAGAAGTGTACCTGTGTTTAAAAAAACAAGGAGAACCGTCCAGAATGAACAAACGTGCTTTAAAGTAGAATAACAGTAGGGATACAGTACTGGTAGGCCAAACAAAGATCTGAACATAATTCATACAAGTAACTGCAGCAGTAAGTCCACATATCTATGACAAGGACGGTCCAATTGGCCAACCTGAGGACCAATGATGTCAAGAGCAAACCTGGACCATAAATCCATGTTCGTGATGGGACACAGAACACGTGCGGTTTGAATGGCCTCAGCTGTGGATTAGCAGTTCACAGCAAGTACATCGGCCCTGCTCGAAGAGGGACAAAAAGACATCGTCGGCAGGGCCGCATTTCCTACAGAAACTGAAGATGTCAAGTGATTCCCCATAGGGGGACAAACGGAGAATCCGACAGGGTGTAAAATATAGCGATTTTAGAGCAATAGTACACCTAAACTGATCGGAAACTATCCGAACAGCACAGAAGAATGCGCATAGTTGAGAGCTGGATGCGCATGCTGCAGCGGGACACATTACGGGTGGCCATCCGACATGAACGTCTCACCAAGTTGACGGCTGACGCGGGCATTAGCGTCGGAACACACCAAGGCTGTCGAAGATGCCGAAGAGCAATGCACAACAACAATCTCCCCCCCCCTTCCTCCTCTCCGATTCTCAAACTGCGGGGACATCTTGCACATTGTCGTTGCTCCAGAGCCTGGAAATGCTGAAGACGCAGACAACTGTGGTAGGGGACGCTCACCGATCGTCGTTACGGAACTCACTCGTTCCGTTGTGCCTTACGGGTTCTCTCTCGAGCCCAACCAGCAGCCGCACAGCGACGCATGATATAGGGAGAATAGGATTACCGAAAAAGACAAGGGTGACAGACAGGGCAACGGTCTCGTGGCCCAGTGGTTAGAGGCGTGAACTTCTAACTAACAGGTCGTGAGTTCGAGCTCCAGGTGTACCACGCTTCAGGGTTGGGTATGGCTGACTGACGATGGCTAATAAGCCAGAAATGGCCATTCCAGTCTCCTTTGTCTTTGTCGGTAATAACATACTAGGCAGACAACTGCCTGCCGGCGTGACTGACCAAAGCAGCTTAGAGAATAAATCGACTCCAGTGGCTTGCCCCAATGCTGTCTACAAAGAATACCGCGAGAAAGTAGGGAGAGGCGTGAATTGCCTCATCTGCGTAAGTGTCCAGCTTGCTTAGTACGCACACTGTTTCGTCGACACGTCCACGTAATCGGTGTTTCACTTCCGAATAGGGAAAACCCTCATTATTATGAGCTCTTGCTTCCCTTATGGAGGAAATAAGTGGAGCATGTGACTGGTAAGTGTGTTGAGGCGACTGACAACTATAGTTAGCAAATAACGATAGTTTGCTGGAATTCATGGGCATAGAACTAAATATTTGCCAAGGAATCCGCGTCGAAGTTCACTAGTCGTACTTCAGACACAACTTCATGCACGTTTAGTTGTTGAAGAGGGCAATTTCGCAAGATTGTGCAACTGAATAACCGCTAGAAACCCCCCCCCCCCCAGACTATGGCTGATAAGTCGAACGCATAACAGTTGTCACATACAGCCTCAAAAAACAGGTGAAGTTGGTCGGCGGCAGTGTTGGAAGTACAGTGATGCGTAATCTATCGTACTTCCCGTCGCTTCGTGCAATTTAGTCTAATTGGCCACTTAAAGAATAAGAAGCCCACGACGTCACCGTGATTTATGTATCGGCTGGGGATGGTCGTCTCCGTTTTAATGCGATTTTGCACGGCGCGGCCTAAACCAACTGCGGGGCCGGTTCAGCATTCAAGTAGGTGGAGTTGTTCAGACGCCAATCCCCCCCCCCGCCCGCACGCTCCTTGGCGCCGTAATTTTTGGTTGCCGGACTGTCATGAGTAATCGTGGTTGCTGGAGTATATCTGTTTCCCCGGGTCAGACCAGTCTACTCCAGGCAGTGCCGCAAAACGTAGCAGACCGGGGGAAGTCAACACACATCTGGGAGCCAAGCCTTCAGGGTACGCTGTCATGCCCGTATATAACAACAAATACTGCTACCACCAGCGAAAACGGTCTGGACGGCAACAACAGTCAGAAGAGATGGAGTTAAAACCTAAATTCTCTTCGGGCCTGTACATTCATATTGCTGCTGCGAGTAGACAATTATGCTGTAGCTCGGGTTTGGGGAAGGCAGAGCGTGAAACGTAAAAGTTCCAGCCAACTTAAGGGGAATTAATGGCACTGGGAGAGGTAATTATATGCGGATGGCTGGCTTGATGGCTTTAGGCCATGGAAACTGTGGGACTTGTATGAAGCTCTTCTGCGGGCACAGAACCGATTTGCGTAATCTGATTCAAGCCGCCTCTGCCACAACCAACAGATGCTGGGCAAGCAGCTTTGGATGGCTTGGCGGAAACTCGTTTATCACTCGAATGGCTTCGGTGGCACATACATGGTGGTCTGTGTCTACCACGTGTGCGAGGACAGAGATGTTAATGTTCTTGAAGTGGCTCTTTTCTAATCATGGCTGGGAGATGTTCTCTTATTCTTTTGGACAAACGCCGACTCATGCAACCACTATATTCTGTCCCACAGGAGCAGGTGAAGGGGTAAATACACATAGAGGTGGTCCGAGCTGGTAGTTTGTCCTTACCTTCTCCGTATAGGATGGGCCTAGTAGAGAATAGTATACGGGCGTCAGATGAGGGGAAGGTGCATGATACAGCTTGGGTTAGGCGTCTTCTTAAGAGTTCACGTGGCTCGTCCCCTTGAAATGGAACCCTGATGGAAAGTCTTCTTTCCTGCCGTCAGCATCGGGGCCTTTATGGTCTTTCGGCCATGTTCTTGCCAATGAATTGATCAGAGTACGCGTTCTGACGAAAGATACTCCTCCTCTCTCTCTCTCTCTCTCTCGATGCTATCAGCCGAGCAGATCCTTCTTACCCTTCGAGTCAAACAGCGAAATGAATTACTTCTCAAATTGGCGGTACTTGCCCGCATCTTTTTATTCATTACTTCGCTAGCAATGCAAATCTACAGATCTGAAGGAATTTTATCAAGGGCAGGCGAATGCTCGCCTAATTGTCTTTCCAATTTTTCAATGGGGAGTTTCGCAACTCTTAAACCTCAAGCAGACACAGCGGAGCCCACCTGAAGGTTATAATGTCGTCGTGCTCGTACCACGTGATGACGCGTTTTGAGTCGTCTTTGGGCACGGGGAAGAGGTGTTTGAGGATGCAGCGCAACCGCTGGCCCAGCTTGGTGTCCAGGCCCTTGAAAAGGTGCTGGGGGAAGGCCTGTGGAAACTTGGCTCCACTGCCCCTTCCCTTGTCCTCAAAGTCGTGCCGCATGAGGACATTGTAGAGGGTGAACTTTGCAGTGGGACCGAAGGGCAGATGGCTGATGATGAGGGTGTCTGGGACGCCTCGAGTCTCATTGATCACCACAACGTCCGTGATCTGGCAGGGCAGGAGGGGTGGAAGGAAGGAGTCGCAGGGGTAAGAGATAGAACTTTTCCGGATAGAGAGAGAGCTTAAATGCAAGGTGAAGGAGTTACCCTGGATACAAACTCACTATTCTCCTCCAGGCTCTTCTACTCTCTGCAACTGACATGAGAAGCAGGGCAGAGCCCCTTAGATGACTGTGTTGGCAGACGCTTTCCGAAGCAAACGAGCTCCGAATGCGTGGCACATAGGCCACTACGGGCAGACAGTGTCAAGAAGACCGGAGGTTGGCTCGGGTGCACTTGCTGGTAAATCTAAAGAGTCCTTCTACGCGTGCCATACACGACCTGGAACACCACTTCATGTGCCAGACAAAATAATAGCGGCTCGGATGTCACATACGTGAGAGTTCCATAAAGGTCATAATGAAAAGGAGCTATGGTAGCCTGGTTCTCAGTCTTGAGTCTGGTTATCCCTTCAGTTGACAACCTTCAAGCCATGAACCTCAGCGCGTCAGATTCATTATGGTGAGCAGGGCACCGTAGAGATGGATTCCCCAGTGTCGGCCTCACCCTCTCCCTCCCTCTCCCGACTGTCCAAATAGCTGCTGATGGGATCGGGCGCACTGGTTGGCACAGCGTGAAGGTCCGCAGTGAGTGACAGGTCTCGTGAAATGCTTGCCGAAATTCTAAGGTGCTTTTTCGATTAGGAGGGATTACTTGGATGGAATTGTAATGTTGATTATCACGGGGGCATAATCCCACGATATTTCAGACTCGCCAGAATATTGGCTTTTGAATGCACTTCTTCGCGACCTTTAAAGATTGCAGTCGGTAAAAAAAGTGACTACTTAGGCAGTATGCCTTTTTTCCAAGCTCTTCTACTCTCTGCAGGGCACAGCGCCTTAGATGACGGGGTTGTGCGAGACGCTTCCCGAAGCAAACGGGCTCCGAATGCGTGGCCACTACGGGCAGACAGTGGCAAGAAGATCGGAGGTGGGCTCGGGTCCAGCGGCTGATAAATCTAAACAATCCACCAACGCGCATCACACACGACCAGGCCCGCAGTAATAGCAGCTCGGATCCCACATAAGCCAAAGTGCCAGTAAGGTCTCATTGGAAAGGAGCAACGATAGCCCGACTCTCAGTCGTGAGAGGAACCGAGTTATCCCTTTAGTTGGCAACCCTCTAAGCCACGAATCTCAGCCCGTCGTGATAGATCTACAGGCGTCAGATTTATTATAGTAGGCTGTGCGCTGAGGTGGCTCCTCTTCCCTCTCCCACGCAGCAATCGACTGTCCGAGTCTGTCAACCAATTGACAATGGGATTGGGTGCGCTGGTTGGCAAGACGTGAAGATCTGTGCATCTAAAGCGTGACAACACATGAATGTGCATGTAACTCAGGAAATGTGGTCAGATTTGAGTGAAAAGTCTGTCATAAACTTGGTGTTGTTTTGATTTTTGAATAGATTGGAGGCGCAGAAAACGATTTTATTGATAAGGGATTCATTTCAACTCAGTTTTATTAATGGAAAACCGATCAGATCTAGGCGAAATCTAACCTTTCCTCATATCCAGATAATTTCCTACGCTATTGAAATTCACATATCAAAACCTCATGTTTGTTTGGCATTGTACTGCAAACAATGATTAATTTAAGCAGGAAAAGTACGAAATAAATCCCCTCTGGGAATGGAAAATTCGATTTTGCTTCTATGAAAATCAGGCAAGGGCGGCATGAGAAATTGCATTGTTTTTAAGAAAATAGGGCGAACTCGGCTAATTAGACTGTTTTATAAATTCGTGGCGTTTCGTGCCATAAAACTCAATAACAGGCTTGCTTACAAGTAGTTTGTTTAATCGCACCGAGAATTACTGAGCATATATTGTGTGCGCGCGACATGCTGCCAGTTTTCTGTGCCACGCGTATGATAAAGATGTCCAGACAATGTCTACCAGCAGCCGACCACGAGAGGATACGGAAATTATCAGCGGAAGGGTTGTCGCGTGAGTCGTTAGCAAGTATTTCCAATATTGGTAAGGCGAATAATTAATGATAGGACCGTACCCAAAAATAAACAGGGTGGGTCAGGACGGCCCATAAGTAAGCAAGACGGCGATTTTATTCGTCGTACACTAACAAGTGTCATTATATGCCCATTAAGGCCGTTCACAGAGAACAGCTGCCGATATTCTCTGCGGAAATAATTGGGAAAAGGATGCAGGAATTTGAACTTCATTAGTAAAAGGTCATGATCAAGCTGTTTTTAGGTAGAAAACTTATTAGAGGACGTTTTTTATTTGCTAAAAGATATATTGATTACCGGCCCTCATTGTGGAAGAGCATTTACTTCTGCGACGAGATCTTATTTTTAAATAAGCCTACGAATTCGATTTAGGTCAGATGTGGAAAGAACGTCCCCAAAAGAGCATACTGCGTCGATGACAACCTTCAAGAACTCTCGATGGTTAGTGGTTTGGATGACTACTAAAGTCGGAGGACGGCCACTTTGGCGATCGACCACGGACATCATGAAAACGAAGGTATTCGCTGACATTGTGATGGACGTCTTCGATTACAACGACACCCATCGACGCCGATTTGCTATCCTAATTTTACACAGTAAAACTCCTATCCATCGCTCTGAAGAATTGTTGATCCGGTAAGGCCTCCAACCGTAATGTGACTTTTAGACAACAGCCAGCTTCTCCACATATGGCCTCCAGTTTATTTATATTCCTGCCAACGGCCTGGACCTCAGCCCTGTCGATAATCTTTTTGTACTTGTCAAAAGACATTGACACATGCGAAGGTTCTTCTTTTCCAACAGAGTGGTCGAGGCTTAAAATGCTCTGCCTGTAGATATCGTCATGTCCGCCTCCGTCGAGGTCTTTAAGCGGAAGTTGGACCATTGTACCACTAGAAGTCGTAATGTCACCTGACCTATATCGCCTCAGCATTTCGTTCAAAAGGTTTATTAAAGTTAGTATGTTACTGCCTATATTTCAGCAACGTTTGTTTTTTATCATTGTCCCTAGTCCGTCGAATGTGAGATTTGGCTCCAATTCGCCTCCCTCAGAAACTGAGATCGCACCAACATTTCACAGCACACGTATGCAGAGACCGACTACTGCACAACACATTAAGTACTGTGAACAATACGTTTATCTGGCCGGTTTCGAAAAAATTCTGTAGCTGTTTTTGATGTTTCTATTTCCATATTTTTGATATAATTTACTTCCATGTAAACAAACAGGGTGCTCAAAGGTCAACACCTACGTTTCCCTCCAGTAAACTGAACAGAACTGAACCTGAACCTTTCCCTGTCTGAGAGACTTTCTGCTGCGATAAATGCAAATGGATAATCAACAAAGTACTGATCTTTTGTACTTCTTATGACTTTTCATTATTTTCCCTCATTTCATGCGTCCCCCTACATTATGTCCTCCATTCAAGCAATTCGTAATATAGCCATTTTCTGAAAGTCCAGTTTTCAGTAAAAACTACTTATTTTTACGTTAGTCAATATTAATTTGTAAACTCAACTTTGCCTTCTTCTTAAGAATGGTCGTTTTATCACTGCTGTAAGGCATTGTGGAACGCAGTTTGGGAGGATTTTGCGTCCTAGGGATTTCCTTGTGCTAACCCATAATATTTCATGAGTTAGCACGCCTACTGTATGTGTGAATTTGAATAACAAATCGAGAACACTTTGAATGCACCAGTTATGAGCTCTGGTGGGCCCAACGCAGCGCGATAAATTTGTGTCGTCAGCCAGTCTAACCCACCTATATGATCCGGCGTACCTGCAGGAGCACCTGGTGTGAGAGGACCCCACGGAACGTACTAGTCGCTCAAATAATACGTAAACTTCGCGCAAACTGACAAGGATATACCTGACGGGCGAGGCAAGCGTCGATGAGGTCTTTGTTCAGGTAATTGCCTCGGTTAATTTTGGTAGCATTGGGTATGATATGGCGCAACTCCTTGGCAAATTCCTGCAGCTTGGAGCTGGGGGAACGCGAAGTGGTCACGACCACGCGGGGATCCTCACTACCCGCCCAGAAGTACTCGTCGTCCTCGGCGTGTCGAACACCTAGAGAGAGAGGGCGTATGGGTCAATGTGGAGGATGGGCATACTTACCTTCACCACCATCGTCGCTGAAGTCGAGCTCCTCATTTAGGGCCAGAGCCTCGTCAGCAATCTCCTTGGGAAGACGTTTGCCTTCTGAAGAAGGAAAGCGGTAAGGGTAGTGTGCCAACAAACCGACCTGCAATGGCTGCCTTGATCATCTCTCGCTTTTTCTTCAGCGCCTCATCACGCGCCTCGATGGAGCGACGATATATGAATTCGCGGCGCAGACGCGCCTGTCGTTTGAGCTGTTAAAGAGAAGGGAAGGTGGAAAAATCTCTGCATACGCCGTTATAGTAATGAATATGTCAGTAGTTGCGGCAGAGGCGGTGAGATGGCACACGGGACGCGAGTGTGTGTGTGGCGATCACCGGGTTAGCTCGATTTTAGGACGGCAGAGAGGAGGCATACTTTACCTTGCAGCTCCAGTCTAGAGCCGCTCGCAGGCAGTCTTATAGCAACGAATAATTCCTCTCTGCAAACGCCTTTAAAGGCTCTACATTGGAGGTCAAGGGCAGGGTGGAAGGTCTGTATTACGTCCTGCTGTGGAAGACTCCCGAGAGCAGTCAACAAGGCATGAACCCGTGAGTCCGGCTAAATGACCAAGGGGACTCAATTTCAAACCGAAGATGATCCCCGCCTGCAGTTGGGCCGTGCCCCTCGCAACAGTAGCTTCTGACAGCTGTAAGGACCTAACAAGGGTATCGAGTGCGTTACGTCCTTAAAAGATGATGAATTACGAACATCTAGGCCCAGAAAACTGCCTGGATGAACAGTGGTTAGTACTTAAGTCACTTGTAAGACTTCGAACATATCAAGTAGCTGGCATGTCGCAATAAAACAGCCAATGTGGTTCAAAACTCATATGAATAAGGTCGACGTTTAGTAGGTGTGTTTCTAGGGGCCTGTTGCATCTATTTCGTCAGTATCCCGCAGAAAACCCCTCCAGAATTAGCGGAATTAGTGACGACTTTTTATTACTACAGACAACCAGGGAGATAAAATCTACAGGGTCAGAAGAATTTCGACCCGGGACGGAAATGAACTGCTGGACCCTCCGAATTGAGACAGTGCTCCGCCAACTGATCTATTGGCGGGACGGCTGCACGCGGTTTGGCCCACAATGCGAACCTAATACTGTGTGAATTACGTTCTAGGCAAACTTCTTACACACAGAAAGCGGACAAAGTACGCGTTTTCAGGCAAAATTGATAACTGCCACTTAACAGACTTTTGTTTTATCTATGAGGAGTCCAGATGGACAAGATCGGAATCTATAAGGCTTTGTCTATACCATCATGGACATTCTCACTCCCTACGATGTAATAAATCAGGCCTTCCTTCACTTGCTCCTGTGGAGCAGGTTATATTGGTCGCACGAGTCGGCGCTTATCCAAAAGAATACGCGAACACCTCCCGGCATGGCTAGGAAAAGGCGAAACGAGGAGTATAAGCAGCGCCATTCTCGCGCATGTTGTCGATTCCGGACATCGTGTGGACCCCAACGAAGCTTTTCGTGTGATTTATAAGGTCCCATCGAGCTACCCTAAGCTACTAGGCCAGCGCCTGTTAGCGACAGCGGAAGCGGCCGCCATTAGGTTACGAAAGCCAACCTTATGCGCTCAGAAGAACCACGTTCAGGCTCCGCGCCTACAGTGGTCGACGGCTGACTAACGGTGCAGCTCCCCCCGCGCACTTGCGCTCTCACCCCGCCCCTGACAATGACTATCATTACCCCCACCCCCTCCCCCACAGTCCTCCACCCCGCCTTTGTTTAAGGAGTACTTTTATCGACTTCTCTTATCGCTTGCATGTTTTACTTCTACCCCGTTCCTATATAACTGTACTGGCCCGACGAGAATTTATCGAAAGCTACGTATGCTCGCCACCTCGTCTTCTGATTACTGCTATGGGAATTTTCGCAACTCCTTCTCTTATTCTCGAAAAGGCCCTGACACCAACTTTTCGTATAACATACCCGAAACAGTCACTGTAAAAGGTAATGAACCCATACTTCCACCCTCAATGTCCGGTTAGTATTACAGGCAAACATTCCCATTATCCATTATCACCGGTAACGTTCGTATTCCGACATTTTTATTTACCTGCATGCTAGGCGATATACCATAGAGACGCTTCCAGTAAATAATCCGATGTTTGAATACCAGACTAGGGCTCTGGGGAAATTTAAACCCCCACCACCCCTCCCCCCCCCCGGGGCCAAAGCCCACTCCATTCTCTCATGGAGAGCCATAAGACTCTGGCATAAATCTCAGGCATTTGCTCTCTCAGGATAGGTAAACCATGCCGGACTTGCATGAAAACTAGTTAATGACTAGCGTAGGTGATAAGAGGACTCTTTACTCGAGGCTACAGCACCTGAGTGAAAAACGCGGTTGTTGTGATCTTATGGAATGGTCCCGCTGGGCCAGGCGACTTCTCAGACAAACGTCCTATTAGCCCCGTTAGCCTTGGATCCCGATGCAACAGCGGTGGAATAATGTTGGAATTCCCAAATGAGAATTGGCCGTTTGTTGCCAACGAGTGCTTTTAACACCACTGCAAACATCTGCTGACCTGGGATTCCAGCTATGGTCGTGCGGTCAGCCAGAACAACTACAACTGTTGGACAATTCTAGTTAAAACAGATACGTCTTTTGTCGATTTTTGCCGCTGAATGAAGCGTCAGCGCATTAGCTTTTGAGGCAATAAATGATGTGTATTTAGAAAACTGAAGTATATTCTAGAAAGCACGTGGGGGGCGCTGGGGGACCTACTGCTGAGTCGGACCCTCCGCAGCTGCGTTGTGAAACGGCGCAAATTCGACGAAACACCTGTTTATGCTCCTGGCTATTATCTTTGGTGTCAGTGTGGGAAATTATTCAGCATTTGTATACTACTGACTGTCTGTTGCCAACCTGTGAATATTGAATATTACGGGGTTATTTCATTGGAGCTGGGGGATTTACGCTCAACTATTCATGTCAACCAGCTGACTGAGCCTAAAAAGATTTGTCTAGAAGTGTCTACTCCTAGTTAACCCATTAATTTCTGAGGAGATTTGGGAGGCTGAAGAATGACTACATTACAGTCAAGATAAGGTTTTGTGAATTTAACAAATAGATGTGTAGTGCCGAAAGTGGCGATGTCTATGAGTGAGGTCACGTTCTTATGCGTGCATGCCTGATAGTTTACTTCTCATTCGTACCCAAAGTACCTCGTTCAAGGCACCCTGAAGCAAAATTACGGAAACTCTGAATAGGCTAGAACCTAAGCAGAAAACTTCGGTCTTGTTTTGAAGTCCGAGACGGAGTAAAGTGCGGCAGTGAATTTATATTAACGGGTCTGAGTTCGAATGGCAATATCCGGCAAAGACGGCCCCTTCCACAAACTTCGGAAAATAACGTCAGAGTTGGCTACAGATATATGTAGGGACTGTTGGGTAGAAGTCACGGTGTCTATGAACGTATTCAATGATGGGTCTGAACCTGCATGGACACAATAATATTTCAACATTTCGTTGTCTTGTTTGCAACTATAATTTTACTTCGGTCAGCCTACTCCACAAGGAGCGGAGCTGTCTGGCGAGGCAGGGGCGACATCAGCGAGAAATGGTTTCTAATTATGCAGAACTTTGTGGTATCTACCTTATTCACTCCTGCCACATACGCATATTACGACGAATGCAGATGGGAGTGGACACAGAGACCGACGCGGAGGCGTTGGTCGTTAGACTTAAGCGAGTATAACTTAAGAAAAAAAGTCGGTAGTCAAATTTAAAAAGGTCATAAGGGCAGGGTTAGGAAGGAGCCACAGCAGCCTGACTGTCAATGAGGTGAGAGACAAAGTAAAGCAATCTAAGCCATGACTATAAGGGCGCCGATATGGCCTAAAGAGCATCGAAATGTCTTTCATAAGAAAATTAAGGATCAAATGTGCTCAAATAATTTTCAGACAGATTCGGCCTCACTACCTTGTCGCGGTCCCAACATGTACCGGTAACTAGCGCAAGTCAAACAGGCTAGAAGTAGCCGAAACGGCTAGTGTGCTTTTAACGTTTTCGACTACGCATGTTTTGCCCTCATTCGGGTACAACACGACAGTGTGTCGTTTTGTACGAGGTCCGAAGTAACAGCTGGACACTATACAACGCATATACGATTGGACAACTGTAGAAATTGGACCAACTGACGTGAGGGCGGGATTCGTGCCAGAATTTCCAAAATATGTTAACGCTGTCATCTTGTGAAAATGGCTTAATCAACAAGGCTACGCACACGTTAACACTGACAAAGATACCCAGATACCTGTTGCAGGGCTGCAATAGCTGTCTGTGAATTTTATGTGAACCAGTTGTGACATTTTAGCGCAAAAACTATCACAACTCAAACACGTGACTCACATTTAATAAACGACACTAAACGAAATCGGAAATTACATCAACAAACACCACATGACTCTTCTGGTTTGGCGACCGCCCAGAGATTAGAACAGTATCGCTATAACCGTAACTCATAAGTTAAAATTACTTTTTTGTAATTACGAAAATATAAAATAATCAATAGCTTCCTTCGGAATAAAGAAAATATTTCTGAAAAAACGGGCACTCCCCAGGGGTATGCACGTAAAAAATTGAGCAAAGTTTTTCGGACATGCAGTAATATCCATAAAAAGGCAAAGATTTTAAGCAAGCCTCACCATGTGCGAAAAAACTATTTGCAGTTGGTGTGTTATGTGTAGAGCGAACACGCAGACAAGACCCAATCACGTATCACAGAAAATCATCATTCTGAGACTCATTTAGTCAGCGGTAAAAGGAAAAGTATTTGGCAACCCAAAAAATCTTAAAATCCCTCTTTTTCCACGTTATATCTCCAAGACGCTAAAGGCGAAGAAGATCACTCGAGGAGGTAGGGGGTGCTTTGAAGGCGGTGGTTGGATGCAGAACACTGCATTAGCGAACAATGTTTTCTGAACACGGCATTGAAGCTATTTCTCACTCAACACGTCATGTTACCAACTAGAGTACGCGAAGGCCAACAAGCCAACTGCCTTGATCTTGTCCTTACGAAGTCACAGGACAGCATTGATGAGGTGTCATGCCTACCCCCCTTAGGTAAAAGTGACCACGTCGTTCTTCTATGGGATTACTCGCTTTTTCCCATGCCCAAGAAACCCGGGACAGTTAGAAGAAACCTTTGGCGCGGGGATTTCGACCAAATGAGGGCTGAAATTTTACGCATTGAGTGGGAGTCCATATTTGTTGGGAGCATACTCGAAGACTGGCAACGGTTCCGAGAAATTCTGCACGAGCTGATCGTAAACCACTGTCCGCTTTCACGGAAGAGGTTAACTAACAGACCTCGATGGCTTACGCAAGCCTTGAAGAATGAAGTGAATAAAAAACGACGGCTGTGGAAAAAATCGCTTTCTGACAGGAGCCCAACATCTATATGCGCGTACAAAATTCAAAGAAATCGAGTCAAGGATCTTATTCTCAAAACTAGAAAGGAATTCGAACGGGATCTGCTTAACCGTGCCGCGGAGAACCCTAAATTATTCTACGATTACATTAGGTAGTGCACGCGGAACAAGGACCCAGTACCCCTGCTAAGGACTGCTGAAGGCGAGCATCTCACTGACGACAGGGCGAAAGCTGATCACCTTTCAGCATTTTTTCGGTCTGTTTTTAGTAGCGAAACAGGATCCAACCCTTCGACCCTTCAATCCTTCGAAGACACCCCAATTATAGAGACCGTCCAGTTCACTGAGGGTATGGTTCTGACGGAGTTGCTGAGGCTAAAGTAATCCAAATCACCAGGTCCCGATGAGATTCCGGCGAAGATTTTGAAGGAACTCGCCGGTGAGTTGTCTAAGCCACTCTCCATGCTCTTCCATACATCCTTCGAGACCGGATATCTGCCACACGACTGGAAGTCGGCGTGGATTACGCCGCTGCACAAGGGCGGAAGTCGGGTCTCTGCGAACAATTACAGACCTGTCAGCCTCACCTCCCTTTGCTGCAAAATTATGCAGAAAATAATAAAGCAGCAATTGATGATGTTCCTTGAACAAAACCATCTGCTTTCCGATTCCCAGCATGGATTCCGAAAAAGCAGATCCTGGGTGACAAATTTGCTCTACTGTCTGGAACACTGGACTCGGGTTGTTGGTAGAGGAGATATGGTGCATGCCATCTATATCGACTTTAAAAAGGCCTTCGATAGTGTGCCTCACCACCGCCTTCTATACAAACTTAGCCGTGCAGGAGTGCGGGGTAAGCTTCTGATGTGGATTCGGAGCTTTTTAATCGGCCGCTCTCAAGCCTTCCACGTCGGTGACCAACAATCTGCCGAGGTTGCCGTTAAGAGTGGTGTTCCCCAAGGCTCCGTTCTTGGCCCTACGCTGTTCCTCGTATACGTCAACGACTGCGCTAACGAACTGAATTGCGATGTTGCAATGTTTGCCGATGACATAAAGATTTGGAGTACCATACGAAGCGAAGTTGACTAGGCGCGACTGCAGACAAGTCTGGACCACCTCGAGCAATGGTCGAAAGTCTGGCTTCTACCGTTCAACGTAAACAAGTGTACTTTCCTACGCGTCGGCAGAACCAGTTTTCCTAACCACACGGTCTACCGTCTGACTGGCAAACCACTGCAAGAAGTCGACGCCCAGAAGGACTTGGGTGTATGGATCACAACCTCGCTTAAGCCTTCACTGCACTGCTCAAAGGCAGCCAAGTCGGCGATGTCCATGCTATACCTTGTCAAACGGGCGTTCTCCTCCTTTGACGAAGACTGCTTCGCCAAGGTCTTTCAAACTTTTGTGCGACCGCATCTGGAGTTCGCTATCCAAGCATGGCGACCCTGGACCGCTAAAGACTTGGGCATACTCGAAAAAGTTCAACGGCGAGCAGCGAAACTTGTATCTGGGCAGTGGTCACTACCCTACGAAACGCGATTAGCTAATCTTGACCTCTTACCTTTGAGTTACAGACAGCTACGTGGGGACCTGATACAAGCCTTCCGCATCTTGCGCAATCAGGGCTGCTGCCTCGCGTTTGGAGACTTCTTCGAGTTGGCGACTACGACTAACCTGAGATTCCATCCACTCAAACTGCGTGTGACTGGCGCCCGGCTAGACACCCGAAAGTTCTTCTTCTCCAACAGAGTGGTTGCAGCTTGGAATGCCTTGCCTGAGGATGTTGTTATGTCAGGCTCGGTAGATACTTTTAAATGGAGACTAGATCAGCATTGTAGCGCGCACCACAATAACGCCGGACTACGGCCACCTTGACAGCCAACGCGGGCAATTTAGTGTTATAACGAGGCTACTACCAACATTTAAGTAATATATGTTTATGTTATTTATTAACCTTGGGCCACGTTGCACACCGCTGTTCGCATTCACCACGATGCCTGTAGACAAAACAATTTTCCTTCTTTTCCCGTATCTTAAGTGTGCCTCAACTGTCCGCTGTATTTTGACCAACAAAGCAAGTTAATGTGCCTCTAAACTCTGTTAACGCCTGACATTCTGTGTTCATCTGTACAGTTTTTGCTATTCCCCTCGCATTTCTTTCATGTTATTTCCTTTCCATTTCCTCCATATATATCCTCTGCATGTAACCAATAGGGATTTCAAAGGTACACACCTACTTTCCCTGAAATATACTGATACTGAATGCCAAAAGCTCGACAGAAGAGCAATAGCGTAAATAACTTGCAAAGGCAAGCTCAGAAACTGAAGAACGGGTAATTAGTATTCGCAAACTACTCTAGTGGTTATGTGACAGGAAATTTAAGAGCAAAAAGTGATAGGTAAAATGCGGACATAACATTAAACAATTGTGCAAATCTCTGGTTACCAAAATCACGGCGAATGTCATAATGATGAAGCAATACCTCCTTACCTAACAATACAAGTGGAAACACCAATAAATGTGAAACATGGCGTTTCGTTTAGTTGGATTATACAATGACTAAATGCCCATTCTCCAGGATTATCTCGAGTGCATTCCCTAGTTAATGTTAGTCGTTGTCATGGTTTGCCCCTTAGCATTCAATGGAGTACTGAGATTCCACTAAGTTAGCTGCCTGTTTAGTCCGAGTCAGGCTCTAAGAACTAGTTCTGTACTTTGGCATTACGTTCCTACAGACTCATCTGCAGAAATCCTGTATTTTCTCCAGGTTTATTTATTATCCATATGTCTTCGTCATAAATAAATAAATAAATTAAATAAATAAACTTTTATTTAATGCCAGTTTACAGGCATTGTCAAGGGAAGCGTTTAAACACAAATCCGACCAGCAGTGAAAAAAACTCCTGAGCTAAAGGGATAAAAATATAGTTGATGGTGGTTTTTATGGTTTGGAGGGCTCAGGAGAAAAAATCTGCCGGCGGTGGTAGAATATCGACCGTCAAGAAGGGGGGAGGTTGCACGTTATCGGAGATTTTCGGACGTCAAATTCCTTTCATGAAGTTGGGGATAGTCAAAGTAGAGGCGTTGAGGAACAGCTGGTGAGACCGGCCATAGTGTTCAGAGACCACAAACGCCATCGCTACGGTACAGTCGATCAGTAGATTCAGCACCCAAAATTTGTGGGAGCTATTCTGAATGCAAAAATCGAGTAATAGTTCTCTTAAATAAAGGAAAATTTTGCAGAGTTTTCACACTCATGGGTAGTTTATTCCAAATAGCAATTGCATTTACAGAAAAGAACCGACGATATTTAACAGTACGTGCCAGAGGCAGAAATAAGAAGACCTCACGGTGACTGTTACGTCGTGGGTGGATATGATGTCTTAAAGAGGTGAGTGGGTTAAATGTGTGATTATATAAGAGTTTAAATAGCAAAAATAGTCCATTTTGTAATCTACGGAACCATAGACGATCAAGGCCTGTAAGCCGGCAACGTTCTTGGTAAGACAAATGTCGGTGTTCCGGGGTTAAAATTCTCTTAGCAAAAAAGTGGTGAACGGATTCTATTTTCTTCCGCTCAGTAGCACGCATGAGGCTAAATGAAAACGAACAGTATTCCAGACCAGGTCTAACGTACATGTTGAAAAGGCGCATTCTGATATCCCTAGTTTTAAAGTTTCGGAGGATAAACCCGGTCGTTCTACGTGCTTTGGAGACTATCAAGGCACAGTGCTCCGAGAGATTGAGACTCTTGGAGTATGATACGCCCAAATCCTCAATAACCCCAGGCAAATTTATGGCGTGAACTTCAATACTTAGTTGAGGTTGGCGGTCGTCGCCAACCACCATGATTGAGCACTTATGCCAAGAGAGAGAAAGGCGCCATGTGCGGCACCACTGGGCGAAAGCCTGTACATCGCTCTTTAGGAGCTCAAGCACGATGTCATGATCTGCCGGCTTATATCGATATGCAACTTTAAGATCATCGGCATACATGAAAGGCCTACCATTCTGAAATAAATCGGGTACATCATTAACGAAAAGGCAAAATAAAAGCGGGCCGAGTAGACTACCCTGAATGACTCCACTCCTAACACGTGTGGGATTGGAGATGGTATTGGAAATCTTAACTCGTTGTGTACGAGCGCCCAGGTAAGCTGATGTAAAATTCAAAATTTTGCTATCTATTCCGAAAGAGGACAATTTCAAGAGAAGAAGAGCATGGTCAACACCGTAAAAAGCCTTAGTGAAATCGAAATACACAGTGCAAAGTGCA